GCCTGCCGCCCACGGGGCCGTCGAGGGCGTGGGCGAGAGCGCGAGCGGAGAGAGCGGCGACGCCGCGGAGCCCAGGGAGAACGCCCGCTGTCTTCGGCGCCTCGAGATCCAGGGCAAGGCGAGGGTGCGTCGGGCGATCGCCGAGCTGGAGGGCGAGCAGGCAGCTGCTGCCGACCAGGAGCTGGGCATCAGCTACCTCGAGAGAAGGCCGGTGGGGGCTGCGACGCTGGGTGCCTTCCGCCAGTGCGTCCTCGTGTTCTGCGTCTGGGCCCAGTGCTCGATCGAGGCCCTACCCGAGCCGTCCGAGTTGGATGCGCTTCTCGTCGAGTGCATGGGCCTCGAGTTGCTGAACGGGGTGAGTTCCTGGCGTGGTGTGTGGGGGGGAGCTGCTATCGGGCATCATGTTCTTCCACCCGGACTATGGTCGCCTGGGAGGCCTGCAACTGCCGCGCTCTCTCCGTTGCTTGAAGGGCTGGAAGAAGCTGTCACCACCTCGCTCGCGGAAGCCCTTGGCGTTCGCGATCTGGGCGGCCCTAGCGGTAGAGCTGTGTCGCCTGGGAGCCCCGCTGGCAGCCGCTATGGTGCTCATCGTGGTAGAGTGCAATCTGCGGCCATGGGAATTTGCTGGGACTGACGAGCAACTCTTCCCTGGCTCCGAGCGAAGATGCAGTTCAGAGTTGGGCTGTGGCTGTTTCCAGAGGCAGGAGCTGCTCGGGGCAAGGTGGGATCGGCGGACGACGCGACGCCTTGCGACTCGGGCCGTTGCCCTTGGATGAGCTACGTATTCAAAGCGCTCACAGACCGCAAGTCATCCCATCCAGTCCTTGGCTTGGGTGGATGCCGTGCCGTGCCAAGGCCAGCACGGCGGGGCGTCGCTGGGTCGGGCCACGGGGCGGCGCTCGCAAGTCCAGAAGCGAGGAAGATGGGCTGCGTTGACGTCGGTGAAGAGATGCGAAAAGTCGGGCCGGCTGAACGAAAGCTGGGGGTGCCTGTCGGATCTGGCCAAGGCGCACTGCGTGACGGCGTCCAGGCAGTTGGAGGACGTACTGCTGCTGGGCCGAGCCTCGGCCGTGCGCCGGCCGTCGGGCCTTTGGGATGGGCCTCTGAGCCGGCAGCTCCGCGTGCAGGTTGCGCCGTATTTGCTGGATTTTTTCCTGGGAGCAGTGGCGTGGCCAAGCGAGCGCGACTGTCTGGTTATCAGGCCGTGAGCTTGGGCCTGCGCCATGGGCCAGACCAGGATGCGTGTGCCTCTCGCAACCTGGAAATGCTTGAGCGGAATTTCCGATTTGGTCCGTTGAAGGCTGCGATGTTCGTTCCCCCGTGCTCGTCCTTTTTTCTGTCTCGCAATCGTTGCCCCGTCAGAAGCTCTGAACATCCCGAGGGTCTACCAGGTTTGACTGGATCCAACGAAGAAGCTGTGATAATTGGTAATTTGTGTCTTGATGTGGCAATTTGTATCATCAGTCTCTGTTAGAGAAACTGTGTACCTAATGCTTTAGAAAACCCGTAGACTTCGTATATGTGGCGTGTTCGAAAGATGCAAGATGATGTATGTACTTTTCCAGAACGTTAGATCTCCATCACTGTGCTTTCGGGTCCAGGTGGAGAAAGGCCACAAGGATCATTTTTGGCTGCACTACGGCGTCTAGCGAGGTTTGTTTGGCGAATCCTGGGAGGCTGCGTTGCCATGAGAAACATGGCTGGTGTTCCTTCAGGCCAGGACATAAACGCGTTGTTCTCCAGGGAAAGGCAATGACGAGCAGGGCCGCAGAATATCCGCACCGCCTTGTTGCACTGCTGTGTCGTATGTTAGTCCAGGCGTGATTCAGCAACGTCCATGCTGCCGCCGCCTATCCCATGGTTGCTGCTGTTTCCGCTCCTTGTGGCGCCGCTCCGCTGAGAACTACGACTATGCGAATATTTCGGATGTCTACTTAATCATGCATGTCATATTTCTTGCACCATCTGGATGGCTCCATATAGTATCACATTGCACCACCGACAAAAGGGCCTCATGAGCTTAGTCGTGCGATGTGCACGTTTGCTTTGAGAGACCGTTTGATTTGGTGCCGCCCTTGGCAGCCGTCCCCGCGGCTGCCTGGGCTCAAACTGCCGTCCCACAGCCACCCTGAACTTGTTTTTACATAGTGCACGTCTCTCGCCTGTGTTTCTATCCCGATATGTACTTAGCCATGCATTTCATATCTCTTGCACAAATTGGATGGCTCCATATGGTATCAGATAGCACCACCGAAAAATGGGGCCTCATGAACATGATTTTGGTCTCTTCGGGCCCTCCTGGAGGACCTTTTGGAGGCCTCCTGGGCCGTCTTGCAGGCCTCTGGGGGGCCTCTTGGGCCGTCTTGGGCTGTCTTGGGCTCTCTTGGGCCGTCATGGAGGCCGTCTTGGACCATCTTAGGCGGATGTGGAGGCCATCGGAGTCTATCTGAGAGGCCATTTTGGGCCAACGTGGCCATCGTGGAGGCCATCTTGAGCCGTGTTGAAGGGAAATTGTGCAATTGAAGTTCTTTCCGGGTGGCCGGCGGGACGGGCCGACGCCCCAGGAGGAATTCTTTTGGAAAAAGAGCCAAAACCCAAACCGAGAGAATTCAGTACGCCAGGCACCCTAGTGGCAAGCACAGGGGGCGGCGGATCGAAGATGCCTACGGCGAATCACCGCCGCCCCCTGCCTTTTCGGAAGCGCCTCTGTGGCCGACAGCTGGGCCAGAGCTTGGCCAAGCTATCGGGCCAGTTGTACCCCGAGTCGGTTTGGAAAGACTTCGGCGAACGCGTGGAGGAGCAAGAAGAGGAGGAGGGGGAGGAGGAGGAAAAAAGGGGAGGAGGAGGAGGAGGAGGAGGAGGAGGAGGAGGAGGAGGAGGAGGAGGAGGAGGAGGAGGAGGAGGAGGAGGAGGACATACCCAGGTCTGCTGGCAGGGGCGGCGGGTTTGGGTCGGCAGAGCTCCTGGCCACCCACGCACTCCCTGTAACCATTTATCCCCAGAACTGCTGATTTGGCCTCCGAAGGTTCCAGCGGCTGCCTGCACGTCGGCCGCCGTTGAATTTGTGATGGTGCGCCAGGTGGGGAGAACCGTTTCCCCTGGGGTGACCACCACGAAGCCCCTGGCCGCAACCGCAACCACCATATATTCTCCAGGTGCCAGGTCCAGGGCGATGTCACTGGCGCCGGCTCCAAGGCCGTCCAGGGCAATCGCGGGAGCGCCTGCAGCTGGGGTGAGAGCCCTTATCGGTTCGACGTGGTCCGCGGTCCACTCGGCGGTAACCGCGTTGGCCAGTGTCGGCAGAGGGGGTCCAGCCAGGTTGGGGTCTGGCGGCAGGGGCCATAACCTGACGTCCAGCTGACAGCAAGTGTGCCTTATGCGTGTCCTCATTGGCCTTAGCCCCGCATGCGGCGGGAGCCAGGCGTGCTGTTCTAGGTGTCTTGCCACTGGCTGGCCTGTGTGCCGATCCATCCTACTCGTTCGTGTGAGTTGCGGGTGGATGGCCTCACGCGGCGCCAGCTTCTAGGTGCTCGTCGACGGTTCTGTCGGCTCCTGGGTGGGACCTCGGGGCTCGCCTCCGTGGCCAGGAACATTTTACAGTGTTGACCGTCGACCACCAGGTTTCTGGACGTCCCAAACGCCACGTGCATGGCACCCTCGACGCCCTGCCGCAATAACACCTGCAGCATGTCTGGAACGCGTCCAGGTCCGGGTGCCAGCCCAGGAAGCAGCCTGGACACCAGGGCCAGATCATTTGGAACTCCGAGTCGAGCAGCGGGCCGCGTGGAGGAGGAGGAAAGCGGGCAGGGCGTGGCGAAGCCGCGGAGACGTCGAAGGAAGCTCTGCATGGATCGGTGTCCAGACGGAGGGCGCGACAGACGCTGTTTCGCGCCAGGGTCAGACAGCCGCACGAAAGGCGGCTCTCGCAATTCCAGTTCAGCGAGCGAGTTTTGTGCTTCAGGGTGGTCAGCCCCGTTAGCGGCGCTCAAGGGACGCTGGCATGTTTTTGGGCATCGAGCCGCACCTCGGCAGGGGGCGACGAAACGTAGCTCTACCATGGCCTCGCCGTCGTTGGCGCGAGAGCAATCAGTAGATGGCCCGTATTGGTGCCGCGGGGGCGTTATGACAGACACCAGTGTCGACGTTCTTCCGGCTGCAGGGCAGTTGTAGGGGCCGCGCTGGGCAGAGTTTTCAGGCCGTCGAAGACGGAGGCTAGGGATGAATGATAAGGAGAAAGAAGAGGCAGGAGGAGGAGAAGGAGGAGGAGGATGAGGAGGAGGATGAAAAGGAGGATGATGAGGAGGAGGATGGATGGATGGAGGAGGAGGAGGAGGAGGGATGAGGAGGGGAGCTCGCTCCACGAGCACGAGGAGGGATGAGGATGGATGATGAAGAGGAGGAGGAGGAGGAGGAGGAGGAGGAGGAGGAGGAGGAGGAGGAGGAGGAGGAGAGAGGAGGAGGAGGAGGAGGAGGAGGAGGAGGAGGAGAGGAGGAGGAGGAGGAGGAGGGAGGAGGAGGAGGAGGAGGAGGAGGAGGAGGAGGGAGGAGGAGGTGAGGAGGAGGGATGAGGAGGAAAAGGAGGATGAGGAGGAGCAGGAGGATGGAGGGAGGAGGAGGGATGAGGAGGGGAGCTCGCTCCACGAGCATGAGGAGGAGGGATGAGGATGGATGACGAAGAGGAGGATGATGATGAGGAGGAGGAGGAGGAGGAGGAGGAGGAAGAGGAGGAGGAGGAGGAGGAGGAGGAGGAGGAGGAGGAGGGGGGGTGAGGAGCAGGGAGGAGGAGGCGAGGATGGATGAGGAGGGGAAAGAGGGTGCCTCCTGCAGCTTGCAGTGCCGCTCTGGCTGGCCCGATCGCCTCCCGACCTGATCCCTAGCGTCCCAGGATACCCTCCTCTTTGCGGCACTTCTGCCGGCCTTCTGTTGATACGGACCAGTCGTCATGTTTGTTTCTGTGCCAGAGAGAGGAGGGAACACGTCCCTGCGATTCGGCCTGCGAGGCCAGCCGCACGTCGGAAGGTGTCCGCCGAGTACCGTGACGCGGTTCTGTCGCTGCTGACAGGCTACGCGGGCCATCGTGACCTGCCACCGCATGAGGCCGCTCAGGGGAAGGGGAAACCGTGCAGCTCCTGCCTCGGCTATGGCTGCCAAGTGTAGCAGCGTTACCAGTTTTGGGGGTGGACAGAACCCCCAACAGTGACACGTCGATTAGTGAATTGTCCGTTTTCGGTTTTCGAGAGGGCGTCGTGGCCGTTATTTTCCATGCTTGCTCCCGCCAGGTCTGGGCCTCAGGTCGTTTTCACTAAACCACGTTCGTTGTGCTAAAGGGGTGTCTGTACATCCCCGACAGTTCGCAAATACACCGAACAATGATGCGACAGATATTGGTTCTCAACAGGGCTGGTCAAGTCTCCGGTGCCCCAAGGGGGCCCGAGATGGTGCAAGATGGCCCAAGCGGGGACCAATGCCGCAAGAGGTCCCTGGATGGACCCAGTCGGCTCCAAGGTGGTCGCAAGACGGTTCCACAAAAAGCAACAACATGGTCCAAAAGGCCAACAAATATGAATCGCGTAGAGTTTTGATTGCATTTTGGTTCTCCCGCCCCGTCGGCGGAAGACGACACTGATTGGAGCCCCAAGAGCCCCAAGGCCGGCCGCGCGGGCACCCAGGTTGGCCCAAGTGCTCCAAAAGGCTCCAAGATGGGCCAAGAGGGTCGCATGCAGGCCGCAGGCCCGATGGACTGCCACGAACGAGAGCCCGAAGTGGGCGCACCTTCTTCGAAGAGTCAGTAGCGGGGCTGGACCACCATGACCCGACGGGTGTCCCCAACTTGTTTCTTTACCTCTGGGCGAAACGAAATCGGTGAGGCTTGGAGTCTTCCATGCCCCACAGGTGATCGGGATGCTGCCTGGAAGCTGGTCCTTGGAGGGCTTGTCCGGCTACCTGACGAAGTGTGCACGCGTCTGTCTGCACGAGAAGAGGGCGAGCATGCTCGAGGAGAACCTGAGCTCCATGGCGTATCTGAAAACTTTCACTGCCTGGGCCCAGGAGCGCATGACTAAGGTGACCATCACCGGGGATCGCTGCTGTCCCGTGTGCAACAGGCGCTTCGTCGATAAGGACTCCGTGGGCAAGGCCTTTGTTGCGTACCCAAATACCACGTGTGTGCACCTTCAGTGCAAAGAGGATCTATCTGTGTGTCCAAAGACAGGAAAGAGCTTTGCGGACAACTTCTCTGTTTATTGCTCCGCGCTGGATACAGAAGATGCCGAATAACTGTTTTGTCCGGCGCAATGCAGGCGATGGTGATGCGCTTGGTCTGAGCGCTAGTGGTTAGACAGCTGCGCATTGAAAGTCAGCATCGCCGCCTGCGACGTCGGCAAAAAGGGAATTGTATGTGCATCGAAGCTAGCATGTGTGCCCTCTTTGCCATGACGTATGGGTAGCATCTCAGAAACATTCAATTGCTTTCCCTGTCACCGTTTCGGACAGTTTTGTTGGAGTTGGCGTCGAACTCGGGGTCGGTATGGTCCTCGCGTTGCATGGAAACCTGTCAGCGTAACGTTCTACCCTCTATTGCCCCGAGCCGTTGAACTGCTCAGCAACATATCGATATGTTGACTAGTAAGACTTGGGTCATATTATCGTAAGTTGGGTTGTCGGAACATCGCTCTCCTTATATTTCGTAGTCGAACATGTCTCATCGAAGCTTATTTAAGATCACTTCCACTTAGCTTCGCCTTTGGCCAGCCCAGCTGATTGTATCTGGGCCCACTCCAGCTCATCTCAGCCTAGTCGTGCCAAAGGCATCCAGCATAAAATAGCATATGTCAGTGTGTCTGGATTTGTTTGATATTTTGTCTGATGTCCCGACAGTTGTTCGAGGATGTATTTGTCTAGCTGTTGCTTAGTTTACATGAGGATCGCCTCGCTGCGCTTCGTTTAGCGTAGAAGTGCTCATGTTTTTTTTGCTTCGCATTGCATGGAGTATCCTCTCACAGCGTCGATTGGCTCGGCTTAGCTATATCTTGTACGCCGATGATGAGGACGATGGTGATGATGAGCATGAAGATGAAGATGAAAATGCTGATGAAGATGATGGTGATGATGATGATGATGCTGATGCATATGACATATGATGATGATGACGATGATGATACAGATGATGATGCTGATGATGATGCTGATGCTGATGATGATCATGATGCTGACGATGGCGATGGTGATGAACATGACGCTGACGATGATTACGATGAGGATGATCGCCATGACGTTGATCATAGTCGTGGGTGTGATAACGACGACGGTAATGATGATGACGAGGATGCTGATGACAACGAGGATGATGATGACGATGGTGGATGCTGATGCTGATGATTACAACGATGCTAACGATGATAACGATGATGATGCTGCTGATGATGCTGCTGATGATGCTGATGATGACGATGATGACGCTGGGGATGATGACGATGATGAGGAGGAGGAGGAGGATGATGAGGATAACGACGGTAGCTACTACGACGACGATGATGCTGCTGCTGATGATGATGGCGCTGATGGTGAAGATGAGGACGATGATGAGAATCACGATGGTAATGATGACCATGATGACAAGGATGATGATGCCGATGATGACGATGATGATGACGATTCTGATGATGATGATGATGATGATGATCATGACGATGATGATGATGATGACGATAATCACTATGACGATGCTGATGATGAGGCTGATGATGATGATCGTGATGGTGTTGGTGATGTTGCTGATGATGATGATGATGCTGGTGATTGTGATGGTGACGATGATGCTGATGATGAGACTTATGATGATGATGATGACGATGATGATGAGGAGTAGGAGGAGGAGGAGGAGGAGGGGTTGTTGGAGCAAGGTGATAGTGATGATGATGACGAGTGAGGATGAGGATGATGTTGAGGATGATGTTAAGGATATATATATATATATATATATATATATCGATGTTGCTGATCATTCGGATGATGATGCTTCTGATGATGATGTTGCTGATGATGATGATGATGATGATGCTGATGATGATGATGGTGGTGGTCGGGTGGTGGTGATGATGATGTTGAGGATGGGGAGGAGGAGGACGATGAGGATGATGTTGAGGAACGCGATGTTGTTGATCATTCGGATGGTGATGATGCTGATGCTGATGCTGCTGATGATGATGATGATGGTGGTGGTGATGATGATGATGATGATGATGATGATGATGATGATAATTGTGGTGGTGGTGGTGGTGGTGGTGATGATGATGATGATGATGATGAGGATGGGGAGGAGGAGGAGGAGGAGGAGGAGGAGGAGGAGGAGGAGGACGGGGTTTAGGATGACGATGATGAGAATGATGATGAAGATGATTATGATAATGATGATGGTGGTGATGAGAATGAGGATGAGGATGATGGTTTGCTGTTGGTCCGTTGTCGTCGTCGTCGTCGTCGTCGTCGTCGTCGTCGTCGTCATCGTGGTCGTCGGCGTCGGCTTCGTTTAGCTGCAGTGAGTAGGGGATCGTTTCATTACCCCTCCCCCCTTTGCGCAGGGACGACGACCGGTACTGGGGTTTTTGCGAACCTCCCGGTTCTCGGGGGGGGGCGGGCGGTCCTGGCCTCCCAGGTATTGCTTCTTGGGGGGGGGGGGGGGGCGGAGTGGTTGGTTGTGGGCAGGGGGGTTGGGGGCGGGTCCCTCGGTCTCAGACCCCCCCTCCTCCTCCTCCTCCTCCTCCTTCTCCTCCTCCTCCTCCTCCTCCTTCTCTTTCTCCTGCTCCTCCTCCTCCTCCTCCTCCTCCTCCTCCTCCTCCTCCTCCTTCCTCCCTCTTTTGGGGGCGTCCCTCGGTTTTTGAGCCCCCCCTGCCGATTTTTTTTTCAGGCCGGCGACGGTGGACCGCGCTGCCTCTTGCAGTGCTTTGCATTGCTTTGCTTCGCACTGCTTTGCACTGCTCTGCTTTGCTTCGCTCTGCTTTGCCTTGCTTTGCTTTGCATTGCTTTGCATTTGTTTGCTTCGCATTGTTTGCTTTGTTTTGCTTTGTTTTGCTTTGCATTGCATTGCATTGCATTGCATTGCATTGCATTGCATTGCATTGCATTGCATTGCTTAGAATTGGTTAGCATTGGTTTGCATTGCTTTGCATCGCGTTGCATTGCGTTGAATTGCATTGGTTTGCATTGCTTTGCACGCCTCGTGTGCGGAGCTTACGCCACATGTCTGCTTCTGTGCGTGTCGAGCACGTGGGAGAGGTGTTCGAGAATGGTATCTTCGCCTTGTCATGCTTATGGCCATCATGGTGTAATGCATTGTGCGTTCGAGTGCAATCGGTATCACCTTTGCAGGCTGGTCTATCTAGGCTGCGGCCTATTTGCGGGTTCGGAATATGGTGCAGGCGTGGTTTTGAAGGTGTCATTGGCCCCTGCTTCCCCAGCCAGCGAGAGCCTCAGGGTTGTTGATGATCGTTCTAGGGGAATCGTACTTGAAGTATTGCTTTGCGTTGCTTTGCATTGCATTGCATTGGTTTGCTTCTCATTGCTTTGCCTTACTTAGCATTGGTAAGCATTGGTTTGCGTTGCTTTGCATTGCTTTGCGTTTCTTGCATTGTCTTGCATTGCTTTGCATTGCTTTGTATTGCTTTGCATTGCTTTTCATTGCCTTGCATTGCGTCATATTTCTCGGCGCGACATTGATTGCACCATCTGGTTTGCACTGTATCTTTATGTATATATATGTATTGCAAGGGATTACTGTTTGGGGTCCACGCTGGCCACTCCGTCTTTTTTTGGTTGTTGTCGTGTTCGTTTTTCCCTTCATCCTGTCGGTGTGTGATTTGGCTTTGTTTTGACAATGTTTTGCAAATGTGGCGCAGTTCGGGCAGCCAACGTGCCCCCAATACTTGTTGCGTGGCAGACGCTTTTCTTCTTGGGTGTCGGGGTTGGAGCTCCATTTGTTTACCTTGCTTTGCGTGATACCCTCTCTGGCCATGGCTACCCTGATCACGCACTGTCATGTAACGCACTTCGAAGTCCTCCGTATCATGGCCAATGCCAGCATGGATGCAGCAGTTTGACACTTGGCGCCAAAGAAATCCCTCAGTCAGATCTGTTATGTTCTTGTGCGTCAAGGGATTTGTTTCCAGCGTCCACCTTCTGTCGAGCACCCCCAAGCACCTTCTACAGAGGGCGGGCGCAGTGTTGTGTAGCCAGATTCCCTGAACTTTTTTCCGGACTGCATCCGGGTGTGGGCATTGGCGGCGCGGCGGCAAGTGTAATTTGGCTTGGCGCCGACCTGCTTGAGCTTCCTGTGCGGCGCGGCCAGTGTAAAGGAGCTCCCTTGCGCCTAATCTTGGCCTTCTTGAGCTTGGGTTTTTCGCGTTGTCGGTTACGGTCGTGTCATTTGTGCGTTCGTGGCCTTTGCAGTGGAGTCTTGGCGCAGGTGTCCGTCGGCTTTCTGCTCATGGCACCTCAGATGACATTTTTGTTTTCGTGGCCGTGGTGCGAGTGCTTCTGGTAGTTGTGCCGGTTGTAGTGGTCAGTCGCCTGGCGCCGCCCTGCTCGGCGTTCTCGTTGTCGTGGCTGCAGTGCTCCCTTCTGGCGCTTTGGTCGTGGCGCTATTCTTACTGTCGCTGTGGTGCTCGGGTTTTGCGGTGCTTCGCGTGGTGGTCGCCGTGGTGTCCAGTTGTGCTGCTGGCGTGCATTTCACTCGTGGTGGCTTTGGCGCGCGTCGTCTTCGTGATCGTGGCTTCATCGTTCAGGGACACGGTTTGGGGGAGCTGATTGTTGTGGCTTCTTTGGCGTTCGTGGTCGTGGCCCCCGCGCTCGGGGCCGCCGCGGCGTCCGCTGTCGTAGTGGTAACGCGGCTCGTTCTGGCTCTTCTTGCGGTCGCGGCTGGCGCTCTTGTTTGCTACGCGTGCTTGAGCGCTGACCTATCTGACGATTTGGCCTCCGCGGTGCTTCTTAGCTTCTCAGCACTTCCGCTCTACAGGAGGCGGGCGCTGGAACCGAGGGGTCTCGGCGCCGTGCTCTTCGTTGTGCGTCCTGTGTTTTTCTGGTTGTGGCGTTGAGGGTGTGGTGCTGTTCTGTGTTCTTTCCCGAAGACCAGCTGCGCTGTACTTCTGGCGCTTCCGCTGGCCCGCGCCGTCGCGGCGCGCGGCGCCCGCGGGCGCGCGCGCCGCAACAGTGGCGCGTGCTGGTTTAGCAATTGGATCACAGACGCTTGTACTATTGATTCATCAAGGGCATACAGGACGCCTCTACCCTGGTTTACGAGGCGCTGTGCGCTGAAACTCTTGTGGGCTGACAGGGTAAACCTTGCGTGATGTGCCGCGTCCTGGCGGCTCTCTGGGCTTTGGGCCTCCCAGGAGGTTT